GGATTTCTCTGATTTATTTTAAAGATTAAACTGGGATTACAGGTTTTAGGGAGGAACTCTAGAACTGTCCGTCTCACCCTATATCTATCTTGAGGGTTATGAGCTATCAACCTGCACTATCACTAATGATATTAACTCTGATTACTTGATTAACTAATCAGATTAATTAATCTGATTAATTAAGTAAGTAATCTGCCAGGTTTCTGTACTGTAAAGGTAGTATTTATCCCTTTCCAGAATACATGTTTACACACACAACAGAGTGACTCTATTTGCTTTAGATGAGATGGGAATCTTGCCTAAGACATCAGCTCGGGAGAGCAGGCTGCGCTGAAGACGCCGGAGGACTTGGAAGATACTTCCCAGAGCACTCTCTCGTTCCCCCTGCAACCCTACGGGTCAGATCTTACTATACTGATGAGTAATTACTCCAATCAGATACAGTCAGTCTTAAATTTGATTTTTAAGTGAGGAGCAAGAATATTTAGTACAAACATAAAACAAAGCCATTGGTCCATTACAAAACAACAAGGTATACCTAACCCCAATACTCATAATTAGTGGATATAAATAAATACTCTAAAACTCATAGTATTTGCAGATGTAGAAACATAATGTATCTACCTGAGAAACGCCATGAAGGAATTAAGTAGAAAGACCAATATTCCTTACGAAAGTCCTAATCATCAATAGCCAAGAACTCCAACTCAGATACAAATACATAGAAACTATCTTAATACATATAAATCACAATTCAATACCTGCTCAGGCTACTAAAAGAATTTTAAAAACCTTAATATAATATGTAATAATCCTATAGTCTTTATGTAGTATTTAATTTGTAGTTATAAAATTGCTTAAAAAACAACATACTATAAATGGGCTAAATGTACTGAAGTTTTAGCAAATAAAACTAGAAAAAGTTTGAATCTACACAAATACAGTGTGAAATTAATGGCAAATTTTCTGTCCAAATTTCGTCTAATACAAAGACTGTGTTTAAAATATCAGAAACTGAAGTAACTAATTTTATTGCCATATAATACTAGGAAATATCCTAGACTGTATTTTAGGAGACTTGTTATTCTTAGGGCCTTATAATCTAGATTTATTTCTGCTTCATCCTAAGCAACATACATCTTACAGTTTGAGAAACTTGGAGCCATTGCTTTTAATATTTTCCACTGAATTCCAGGGTTTAGATCTCAAGTGCGTATCACAGCATCAGAAAATATACGTACTCTTTGAAGATTCTGTCATATCAGATGGCCTCCTGGTAATATATTATTCATGGCCCAGGTACAGTTAAGCAAATGGCAAATACAAAAGCAAAGTATTAAAAATTCACTTGTATCAGAGAACCTTTTTGCAGAAGAATAAAAGTTGAGCGTTGGCAGGTTTAAAATAGATAAATAAATAAATAAGGTAATTTAGGGAAATCTTTTTTTTTTTAATTAATCTCATGTTCTAGATAGTAAACTCTTTTAAGATAAGGACAGACCCTCATCTAAATTTTAAAAAATTCTAATGTTATGCAGTATAGTTCCTTAACATATTAAATACTACTTTGCATTCAATTTACTTAGATTATAATTAACATTTTTATAGTATATGCTAATAAGATCTTACTATAAAATACAGGCACTTTGATTACAAATTTAAATTTACAATTTAATAAGTGGAAAAACAGAAATGTATGAGAATTTGATAAGATTTATTAGGTGGAGAAGTATAAAGGATTTTTTGATGCAGTTTATGTGTATTTGACGGAGAAATGTTTAAAAGCCCTCGTGGTGCTCTCATTTGGGATAGGAGGACGTGTGGAGGGGAATCCTCCCTTACTTTCCTTCCTAATCTTTCTAATCTTGCTCTGCTTTTGCTATTATATTAAATCAAACACAACTTTGTACTGGCAGGTTAAATGAAAAGTCAGGCGGAAGCTCACGATACCCCATTTCGCCAGATATAATATAACCACCTCTTTCAGTGTGAATGAGAGCTATCTTGGAACGTTTTCATTGTGAGCAACATAGCCTTCAGTTTATCTACCTATGCTTTTTAAAACACCAAGCTAATCACACCATTCTCCATTTTAAAACTCTTCAGACTATCTGCCATCAGTCACTGACATGCCATCCAGCCTCCCTGTGCAGCACACCACTTCTCCTTGCCCACTCTTCTCCCCTTCACAAATTCCTATTTGTTTATTATGTCTCAGCCCTCTCAAAAAGCCTTTGCCCTAACTGTGTTATGTTCTACTCTCCCGTGCATTCCCATAGTGCATAACACAGACCCAACATTCCCAGAGCACCTCGTACATTCAAACAGCTGCTGTTCAGTTGTGAATAAGACAGACCTGATCCCAGGTTCATGACTATACAGTCAAACTGGGAAGAAAGGATTCCGGCAAACAACTAGAAATAATAACAAAATTATTAGACATGTTCAGAGTGCCTTAGAAGAGAAATAAAGGGAGTATAGAAGTGAGGAGTCTAACCTAGAGGGATGGTGAAGGAAAGTCCTCCTTAAGGAGGTCAGGCACACTCTGCCACCGTGGTCTAGGTAAAGACAAGGAAGAATACAAAAAGTATTCAAAAAGTTCTAGGCAGAGGGGGCAGCATATGCAAAAAGACCTTAAGGCAGTAGAGTAGAGGGAATATGGCATATTTGAGGAACAAAGAGAAACAGTGATGCAAGATGAGGCTGAAGAATGCACTGGGACCATCTCACGCCAGGGGCCAGTGGCAGCCATGCAGGTACACTACTCCATCTCCCCCAGAAGGAACCCATTGTTGAGCTGTGAAGAGGGCAGTTAGTTGTCATGGTCCAGTGGCAACTCCTTCAGGATGCAGCACAGCATGCCACCAAGGACACAGTCATCTCTGGCAGCATCTAGTCCCTGACTAAGCACATTGGGAGGAGGAGAGTCTGGCCCTTTCTGCCCAATGCAGGAGTCCTCTAACAGGTACTTTCACTTCAGGCCTCCCCACTGGACTGGCCAAGGCTTTGTCAGACTTGTTTCACAGATCATATACACCTGATCACCCTTTCCCCCAGTTTGAGGTTCTCTCTGGATTTTGGTCTTGTTGAGTTTGAGATATGATTATTTGTTCCGAGATTCAAGGACAGAATACTGTATTATAGATACTATCAATTAGACACAACAAACAAGACTCACATAATTGCATTCCCAGCTTTCAATTATTTCACTGGAGGTGCTGGGCAAATTGAAACACAATTGCGAAGATTTATAATATTTTTTCTAAGAAACTCAAAATCAGCTATGTCTGGATGAAGCAGATAACTCTCAATGGGCTGTGCTCTGTTTTCATTAAACAAATATTTAATTATAGCAATTTATTGCTGGAAATAGCACAATACATTTGGTATAATTCAAGCTACAACAGAGATGAGAAATGTTCGCTCAACTACTTTTGTTGAGTTTGTGCAATGAGTTACTTGCCAATTACGATAGTTAACAAGGGTTTTCTTCAAAGGGAGAAAAGGGTCTGCTGCCTCAACTTAGTAAATAGATACTAGAATCAACCTTTGATCAACTTTTGCGAGGCAGTAAGTTTTTGTTAGAGTTGCTTCTCCAACACCTACCTTGTCCTGCCACATGGATATTAGTCACATAGGTGGACTACATGAGACATGTAGATTGATCCCACCCCCTGCTCCAATCCAAGACAATCAGGATACTCTCATCCTGTTGGCCAAAACCAAGAGTGGCCTAATGGAGAGATCTCAGGACTTAAGTTTGATCATGGTGGGAAGTGATGTCCCTTCCCCTTAACCCCCCAAATGACAAGCGGTAAAAAGTTGCTACAGGTGGCCCCTGGAGACAATCAGGGAAACCAGGCTGAAGATAAAGCCTAAACAGCAGAGCCAAGACAACCAAATAACAGATATGAGATCTGACTGAGCTGTGTCTGAAGACTGCCCTATCTCACTTGATGGAGGCCAGATGGAAATGCATCTCCTATTATTTGTACTATCAGAAGTATTCTAGGGGCTGGGCTGGTGGCATAGTGGTTAGGTTCACGTGCTCTGAATTGGTGGCTTGGGTTCGCAGGTTCAGATCCTGGACATGGACTTAGCACTGCTTGTCAAGCCATGCTGTGGCAGCACCCCACATAAAATAGAGGAAGACTGGCACAGATGTTAGTTCAGGTACAATTTTACTCACCAAAAAAAAAAAAGCATTCCAATGTACAAGAGTGTCTTTCTAGTTTTCTTAGCTTAAAATTACATATTTTATTATGCATCTCAGCTTACCTTCTTGCCCCTGCCAGGAAAATAACGGTCAACTGTCATTCCACACTTGGGGTTTAATTTTGTTGATCTTTATTAAACACAGACTTAAAAATTTTTGCACACCATTTCAACAAGTATCAAAAAATATTGTAAAATATAATAAAATATAAACGTGTATTAGCTCATTAATGTGATTAAACAGCTGAATGCTAGGTGAAAAATCATCACTGAATGCCTTAAAGGGTCCATAAATACAAAGCAGCAGACTCTTCTCTGATTTAAAAAAAAGTTGATAACATTTTGTTTATATAAGACTTTGCAATGATGACTCATAGATCATATCTGAGCCACATTTGTTTGTTTTGCCCAGACAATATTTAAACACACATATAAAAAAAACAGATAGCTCTTCATAACAACAATCAACCAGAGATGAAAAGTTTCTACTTACTTTAGATCAAAAATGAGCTGCCAGTTTGGATTACTTTATACAAGGCCCACTTGACCCACTTTGTGACCTCACCACTGTAAGATATTTCAGTCTGTGACCTCTGGCTTAAGTGCTCACGTTAATGTTTTGGCAGCTAAGTACGGATTTATTTGATGTATTGAAAAAACCTGACACAGAACCCAAAAAATCAGCGCAAAAGCAAATAACAGTTTCAGATGAGTAAAAACTTTAAACAGGATCTTTCACATACTGGGCAGTAAGATTCCAACCATCAGACAGGGGCATGTCTCACCTGTAGGTCTTTTTCTTCTATCTTCTTTTGGAGCACGTCAAGGCACTTGGTAAAGTCAGTATGGTCTTGATCAGGAGTTGAAATAATCTCACATCCCTGTGTGTTAAAGTAGGAGAAAAGGTAAAAAATAAGTGATGATGTCAACCTTATGAAGGAGATCAAGAGATATGAAAGTAAAGATAAGGTATCAGTAGACACACCACATTATGCCTGTATTATACCCCAATCATCAGAATCACTATCATTATCTTTTTATTTCACATAATAGGACATCTCAGGAATGGTGTCAGAATATTACAATAATCGTCTGATTATGACAATCATTTTACCCAAGAAAAGTACAGATTATATTACATTAATGGCCTTTTTAAAAATCACTGCTGTGATGACATTCAAGATTAACATAAGGACTTGGGTACAAGTACTATAAAACATACTCACAGTGAAATTGCCTGAAATTAAAATGAAACTATTTCTAAAATGCTTTGAATTTCTTTAAGCAGACCTCCTAAGTTTACTTACATGAATGGAAAAACTAATGTTAATACTGAACTAATGATAAAACTACACTTTAAGTTAGCTGTCCTATAAAATTCCTTTACAGCGCCTTTTCTTCCCCATGCAAAGAGGCGCAAAGAGCTATGCCAGCGTACACAAGTCTCTTGGATTATCTTTCGGACATAATGAAGTGAATTTATAAGTTCTCGGCCTCTACTACAACACATACCTCACCTAGTGAAAAACACTGAAATGTATTTATAAATATAAAGCCACAAAAGTGCCAGCTTGCTGGCACTAGCGAACTTAGATGGCTAAAGAAACAATATGCTTGAAATGACAGCTTTTCCTCCAATGTCTTACAGAGGCAAAACTATGTAAAACCAGACAATGCGACTTCAGACTTCTTAATTGAGGAATAAAACAATTTGTGGTCTCTGACAAACAGCTGGGTAAGGGAAAGTTAAATATAATCTAGGATATAAAGTTGCCATTCAAAGAGTTTTCAAGGATACAAAAACACCCATTCCGCCTCTTAAATTATTTCAAGAATCATTCTCAGTAGATTTAAAGGTTCTTCTTTAACTTCAAGGTCTCTTTAAATGTGTCAAGTTCAACCTGTGCTTCCCTCATTTATGACTGTCCTACAGTACATGAGCAATGAAAAAATTAATTTCTCATCATTCAGAAATATATTATGCCCTAAAATATGTATATGTCATCTTTACAAGATCGTCGACATATACTTTCCTGACCCTAAAAGAATCAAAATTTACTATAATCACCAAGCAAAGACGTAAAGAAGTTGACTGTCTGAGGCTAACACTCCTTAAAAAAGACAGAAGAATACGCCAGAGGATATAGGAGTACCATCAGGGCTGAGATTACATTGTAACCAAACTAAAAATCACTATACTGAAAGCTCCCTGAAGACAAGAATTACGTTTCATTCATTACTGTTTCCAGTGCCTGGCACACAGTAAGTGTGCAATAAATGTTTAAATAGTATTCATAAGGAATAAAAATGTATGCTGAAAAAGGGGGAGGAGAGTGTGGCATCTTACTGTTAAATACAGCATCTATGACAATTGGAAATTATCTTCCTCTTTTAAGTGCTGACAACAGAAATAATTACTCTAGCAAAAGGAAACAAAATATAAAATGCAAACAGAAATAGCAATACAAGAGATGATTAATAGATCAATGTCTACCTTTACAGTTATCTTCAAAAATAAACATAGATCCACAAGAAAAGCTATGCTAAAGACAATGCAAGAAATAATTTATCTAGTAACATTATAATATTTTGCAGATTAAGAAAATAAAGATGAGAGATTTAAATTGACTTGCTAACAAGTGGACAGCTAGGCAGTAATTAGCAGCAATGTCATGTCCAGAAATTCTGTCTTTACTACCGTGCAGGGGGAACAAATTCCTAGATATCTGATAGAAAAAGGTCATATAACATTTGTAGAGTTGACTCTACAAAAAGGATGTTACAAAAAAAGCTACTTGAAACCAATGATCTCAGCTTAAACATCTTACTTTACCTCACCAATTTAAGATGGACACACAGAAAAGCTTAAGTCAGGACGTGGAGACAGATTGCCAGCCCTGAAAAATTCAGACTGTATCGAAACCAAGAACTTCCAGAAAGTCTAACTGAGGTGTTTATCAGCCATCCACGGCTTCTTGGAATTTTCACGAGTTTACATGATTCTAATCTCATCACAGACTGAGAATGAACTCACTAGAAGTGGAGACAGCTCCCCGAGCCCTCACAGGGCTGCTTTCCATACCCAGAAAGGAGACCTGCAAAACAAAACATTAGCGAAAGTGCAATAACAGGCCTTTGGCCAACTAAAATGTTTCTGCTGTTTTCTAGATCTTATGATAACATATTAAGATCTAAAAGAGGAGAAATAAAACTAAAGATGAGAAATTACCAAGATCCTGCAGACAAGGAAAAATGAAATGCTATAAGGTATCAACCAATGCTCACCTATTATATACTAATATCTATTTATAATTATTTATAAAATAGGATGACTCAATTTCCAGGAGTCAGAAGCACTGGGCTTTGTGAAGAATTTCACTGGATTTGGTGTTTTCTAAAAAAAAAACACCACCCTAAAAATCCTCACACTCACTACCCAAGGACCCAGAAGATATAAAAGCTATAAGATTTGGCCAATTAAGTATGTATATCACTTTCTAAAAAGTAGTATCTAATATCCATTTCCTAAGAGATATACATATATTTTACCTTAAACTATACAGAAATCTTCCAAAAGCATAAACTAGGAAACTCTTTAAAACAGTGTTAATATGCCAATGTTTGAGTGGAAACGTTTCTTTTGATTTTTCTCATTTGCCTGAAATATATTTCTTTAGGATACAAATTATTATTTTATGAGCCAGCAGGTGGCTCCAGTCTCATACTATGCATTTTCTCATGTAGTTTTTGTCATTATACAAATAGAAACTTAAATAGCTCAATTCTAATAATAAGTTCCCTTTATGAATGCACTACTTCTCTCAAGCTGGATTATCATCTTTTAATATTACATTTTATTTTATTAAGTCTGTTTTATAACTAGAATTTGAAAGGAAAAGACTCAGATTGATGTCACAGATTTCAGTATGTGTCAATATCAAGGCTATTCTAATTTTGTTCTAACCTAAAAAGAATCTTTTGAAGACAAGGAGCTACAATGCCCACCCTCTTCCCTCAAAACCATACCCATAGAAAAGCAAAAGCAAGGGGAATTGAGTAAGTTAGAACAACTAGTTTAAAAATTCTGTTCCAGTGTTGAATTACCATAGTTTTCCTTATCGAGGCTCTCTCATCCCATAAATCAGAACCAGGAGAAGACATATATACATTAATTCTAAATCAACTACCAGAGGCCCAATCAACTACTTTTTAGGGGATTACTATGTCTCTACTGCTTTATTAAATAATACTGTGTACAAAAGAAGTATGAATCTACCAGATACTAATAATACAGCCCAGTGGAAACTAAAAACATAAATATCATAATTAGTAAACAGGTAAAATATAAATACGTGTGTGTGAAAGAGAGACAGGCAGACAAAGGAAGGTTCCCTTTCTTCCTCTTCCCATACTGAGAAATTCCTAGCCATACTTCGCCACTAGCCAGTAGTGCTTAAAAGAAAGTCAGTCTTCTGTTCATCCCTAACTGCTCCTTTCCTTCTGTTGGGTAGTGGGCGTAGTGTGCGCATCTGATATCCCATTTTAACTTTGGGGCTAAGCTATATTCTCTAAAATACAGTCATTTGCAATATATTGATTACATTAACTTCTCCTTAACGCAGGAGTAAGTGAAGAACAAAGAATTGCAATGTTGAGAATCATAATAGAAAATATGCAATAATAAATTGAAATAATTCACAATAATCAAGGAAATATCATGAGTTCATATTAAAATAATGAGGATGCTGAGATCTAGGAAACCAAAATTTAAAAGCAAACATTAAAGGTGCAGAAGGATGTAGAAAGTTACAAATAAGGAAAATTAATCCTCATTGTCAATGTGATTATCAGATTTGAAGAGAATGAAGAATGGAAAGAGGCAAACTTAAACAGAAGTAGTACTTTACATACGAGAGAGTGCACTCTTGGAAAAAATTAATCAAAGACGTGGAACAAATCACACACAACACTGGCAAAAATTCATGTCTGGCAAATCCTGCCTACTATAGTTTGGGAGTACCAGTATCAGTCAGGAGGAGAGACTCAATGCTTCTTGAGGATAGAGAAATTGACTTCTGAATTTCAGTCGCTAAGACAGTACCAACACATATCAAGCAGTCAACAGAAGTCTGATGAACAGACAAAAGACGGATGGGTTAAAACCACTCTTCTCCTCATGGGATTCATGGTATGCTTCTTTAAAATATAAACGTGGATAAACCAGACCATGAGTCTAACACAGAAAAGCAACATTAACGCTATTTTTTAGGTATTATTATGTTACTGCTGCCATAAGGAAATTGAGTAACACTTCTGTTTTAGGGAACCGTTCATGCAGATTCTTAAAATGATGACAAATATTAGTGCTTCATATGCAATTAAGTAAATTAAAATACAACAACACATGAATGTTAAAAAAGTCAATATCCAATGAGGGAAAGCGAAACACAGATGTACACTGAGGCTAACAAAGGCAGCAGTACAGAGTGCTACATAAATAATTCAGAGTATTTTCCAATGAGTTGTAATTTATTTCTTAAGAGAACGACAAATGACAAGGAAATAAACTGATATCAGGGACTCAGTAAAAATTTAGCAATAAACAGTTTTCAGAACATGCCCTGGAATGATAATAGTTCAGCTCAATTTCCAATACTGCCAACATCTATAGCTCTAGCAAACACAAAAATATATGTTTGTAATACATGATCCTAATCACAATAAAATCACAAATCATCTAAAAAGGTTTATGTTCAGTTTGGTATACTCACACATTAAAAAAAAAGTGTCAAACAATAAGAGTTATGGTAAATGCTTAGATTAAGCAAAAAGTTTTATTATATAAATTATTAATAGTCTACTTTATCAGTATTAAATTATT